AATGTAGCTTAGTATTGTTACGTAAGACTGAATTTTCTAGCAAACCTTCCCTCGGCTATAAATATAACCAACGCGACGCGCCAAAAGAGAGTATATATTATTAGTTTGCTATAATCAGTGTGCTATAAAACTTTGGAAGCTACATGTATAACTGTTATTGTTATAACGCTTACCAATCGGAAACTTCAGATATTTGACCAGGAACCTTTACAAAGTTGGATCATTACAAATTATTTAACTTCAGTGGATTAACATCGGACATTAGGACTTTTACGAAAATATTACCTAACGTCATCGGTGAAACTCGTCCTGTAATCGGCGTGTGATCAGCGAGAACTACAGGGTAAACTAACTAGCTCCCTACTAAGTGAATTGTACCTATATCAACTCGTTCATCGTGAACCCTCGATAAAATATCAAGGAAGTTACAAACTAGAAAGAAGACTTTATATTGCTTGTAAGTTTGTGAAACTTTTGTTTATAAATCATTGTTTGTAATAAATATTTGTAATAATTGTTATTGTAAATTGTACTGTTGTATGTATATTAAAACGTATTTGTGTTAAGAAAGAAAATTGTGTATATCAATCTTGTTGGCAAATATTACAAACTGACTATATACAGGCATTTATTTAAATACTAAATCCAAAGTACAATTTAACTACTAAATTTAAATTATCAGTTAACTCAATTTCGAAGCATTTGAAATTCTAATACGTAAAAAATTATAAACAGAAATTTTGAGCGGTAATTCAAAGTAGAGAATAAACATGCAAATAAAATCTCAAAATGAGTCATTCTTCCTTATTTCGACAATTACTAAGTAACTAATTCGACCCCATTACTAGTCTTTCTAGTCATTAGACATATGGGCTATGTATCAGGCACTGACCAGTGAGCAACACAACGAAAAGTTGTCTACGTAACAACACATCCTAAGGAAACGTCTCTGTTTATCACATTCCGTATACATAAAACCTTTAAATGTTACTTTGTTGTGATTATTAATTCATTATCTCATTTACATACCATTTAAGTTTCTCCTTCACGCTTTAAAAACAAAACAATCGCAGGAATATCTCAAAATGTACTAGTGTACCTTTCTATGGTGAAATGCTGAGTTTTTCACGCACTTTGGGCCACTGTTCCATAATGATTGACCTTAAGAACTTTACTTTTTAGTTGTGAAAGTTTGGGTTTCTTTTCATATCGGACCGGATAGTGTGCTCTGAAGTTTCAAGGTTCGCTGCCCGTTGCCGCAAAAATTCGATCAAATACGAATAGTCCCCGAGTTAGAGACTGATTCTACTGGCTAGCTGCTTTACCTCTAGACTCTCAGTTCAAATTTATGGACGGCTATTAGCTTGACGCGGAAATTCAAAAGTTTTCCCAAAAGTTTGTATTATTTTGTCTAAATTCGTGTAATGTTATTCGAGGGTTATCTGCGCTAGCCATCCCTAATTTTGAAGTTATAGACTAGGGGGGGGGGGAGGTAGATGGTCAACACCATTTCACCATCAACTTGTGGGATACTCTAATCGAAGAGTAGGATTTGACTATCACTTTTATAACGTACCCACACCCTCAAACGTGGTGTGTGTGTGTTTTTTTTTGGGGGGGGGGGGTTACAGGGTATGAAACACGTAACCTCTGATTCACAGTCTGGAATGCTAACTACTGGGCTGTGATCGGTCCTTTCCCAAAAATATATCAGTTCTTGACAGTTCATGGTGGGCAGAGCACAGATAGCCCTTTGTGCAGCTTTGTGTTTAACTTCAAACAAACAAACGAGAATTAATCTTGGCTGACTTTAATCTGTATTTCAGATAGATGTTTGCAATAAAAAACAAATCCAAAAATATACTTATCTTGCTTTTATTTGCATGTTCTAAATCACCTTTAAGAAGAAGCATTTTCATAATTTTTGGCCAGCTGTGAGTTCTATCTTTTATTTTGAATACAACACGTTGCCAAATGGTTGCCTCCAAGTGACTCAGTGGCAAGTCTGCAGACTTATAACGCTAAAAACTGTATTTCCATATACGTGGCGGGCACAGCACAGATATCCCATTAAGTTTCTTTGCGCTTAACAACAAAGAAAAAGCCTAATGGTTAGCGCATGGGTTACGGTTAACAAAATTCAAGGTTTGATCGTGATACCACTAAAACACTCCTCACTTCCGACTGTGTGCTCGTTGTAGAAGTGACGGTCAACCCTGTTATTCGGTTCAAAGAGCTAGACAAAGTTCTTGTAGCAGATGGAACTGCTGGCTATACCTAAGCTCCAGATGTCTCTGACGTAGTTGTTTAGTGTCTGTTTGTTTTTAGAGCAAAGCCATATTGGGCTATCTGCTGAGTCTACCACGGGAAATCAAACCGTAGATTTTAGCGTTGTAAGTCCAGAAACTTACCGCCATCCCACCGGGGGGAAAGTTGTTTAGCTCATATGTGTTACATAAGATGCCGTTAGAGTTGAAAATTTCAGTTCAATGACATTTTGACCAACAAAAAGAAATAACGGGAAGGAAAGTTCAAGTCTGTAGGAAAGAAAATAAAAAGTTGCCCAACTCTTGGCAAAGTAACATATTCTTGTGTTAGTAGATATTTTATTTACCTTACAACATAAATAAAAAATGTACCAATGAAGAAACGAATTAACTTTCAAGTATACATGCACCTTCCACTCTAAGATTTACTACTTGGCTGATAAATATAGGCTTAAAACTATTGATTCCCATACTTCTTAAAATTGTCTTCATCTTAAATATTTACCATTATTTAATTTGTTTTCCGATAATTTCAACTCCAAGAGATACTGTGTGTAAAATATTCTTCTGACACAGTTATACGTTAACTTATCTTAAACAATTATAAACAAATTCAGAACAGATTTTTCAATCTCTATAATTATGGTGAGTATATACAAAGTCGTCACAGAAGTATCATTTGGCAAAATAGCAAAAGTATTTCTTCAATGTTTAATATATCAATCCAACACTCACCCACCCTCTGACGATAACGATGGTGTCAGCAGTGTATCGAAAGAAAAAGTGTAAATTTGTTTTCAATTCTTATTAAATTATATTACACAATTCAAATAATTATAGCTTAAAAAACAAATTTAAAAACTTCCATCTGGTGTAAATAATTTGACTTACGTTGATTTGTGGAAGTTCAATATTTATCGGTAGACCCAGCATGGCCAGGTGGTGAGGGCACTCGACTCGCAATCTGAGGGTCGCGGATCACCAAACATGCTCGCCCTTTCAGCCGTGGGGGCGCCATAAAATGTCGGTCAATCCCACTATTCGTTGGTGAAAGAATAGCCCAAGAGTTGGCGGTGGG